TGTTACCCCTTAGGTTAGTGTTGGAACTAAGCTTAAGTAGGTGTTTAAGAGGGTGTCCAGGTGTGTTAAGGATACTGTAAGCCATTAGAATGTCACCTCTAAGACGCCTATACTCTAATGGGTAAAGGTCGAGTGATTAGAGGCGCTCATCGTAAGGTTTAAATTTGAGTCCCCGAACTGATTTCGTGGCTCGCCGTTGGATACGCTCCAGATTGTCCTTATCCTTTTGGAGTGTAGGAGGGAATAATATGTTCCCGTACTCTAAATGGGGACGAATGAAACGATTGAAGATTATATGGAGAGTTCTCCCGTTAAACTGACCAAAAATGCGCTTCAATGTTACCAGTGCAAGGTTTGCTCTAAAGGCATTTTTGTCACAGTTGGCGTAAGACTTTAAGTCGTAGGGCACCAGAACTCCTAAATCTTTTTCGACTCGGGATACTACTAGAGAGGAGTTTCCTAAGTTGTAACTGTAATCTGCGACGTGTCGCAGATGGACTACTTTACACTTTGAAGTGTTAAAGGTAAGTCCGTTGTTGTCTGCCCAACTTTGAAGTCGAGTCAGATCCTCCTGAAGTGCCTGTATGTCCTCTTGGTTGCGTATCTCTCTCCAAAGTTTCACGTCATCGGCAAAGAGCAGTATGTCTGACGTTACCTGTTGAGGAGGATCATTTATATAAATCAGGAAGAGGAGAGGTCCTAGTACTGAGCCCTGGGGGACCCCACCAGGACATTCCATAGCGTGTGAGAAATTGAAGTTTACCCTGACCTTAAAATGTCGATTTGTGAGATATGAACTGAGCCAGTCAATTAAAGGTGGTTTGATTCCCAATTGTTTGAGCTTGTTAATAAGACATGTGTGGTTAACCCTATCAAAAGCTTTAGAGAAATCAAGGTAAATGATGTCTACCTTCCCCTTGCGATCAACGATGCTTGTCCATCTGTCCACCGCGGTCAGCAGGTTCGTCATACAGGAATAACCCTTCCTGAAACCATGCTGTTGGGGTGAGAAGAAATTTAAGGACAGCAGATAGTCATGTATATCATCGTATACCAGGGACTCCTTGATCTTTGAAGGTATAGAGAGAAGGGCCACCGGTCGGTAACTTGAAGGTTCACTGCGTCGACCTCCTTTGAAGATTGGTGTGATATGAGCCAGCTTCCAAATATCCGGTAGTTTGCCCCGACTTAGCGAGTGTGAAAACATCACGCTAAGCGGTGTTGCTAGGATTAAAGCTGCTTCCCTCAGTATAGCAGAGTGGACCATATCTGGACCAGGAGAAGTGTCTGTTCTTAGGTGTTGTAGTTTACGGTACACCAAGTCAGCACTCAGTTTCACTACGGAAAGTCCTGTGCAGTTGCAGACAGAGCCGACATCAGTATAGTTGATGTGGGTCGGCTGAAATGTCCGGGAGTAGTGCTCAGCCAGAAGGTTAGCGGCGTCACCGTCATTATCTGTCGGGCCGTTAGGACCTAGCAGTTGAGAAACTCCAGTTTTGGCTTGACGAAGAGAGGCTGCATAACGGAATAAGCTTTTCGGATTGGAAATAAATTTATCCATAAGCTTTAACTGGTACTGAAGCCTGTCTTCTCTTATAGCCTTCGTACATATGTTCCTTATATGTTTGTATTGCCTGTACTCGCCGTTGTTGTTGGTTCGTTTGTATTCTGCCCAACAGTGCCTTTTACGGCTTAGCAAACAAAGAGTGCGTTTTTTGATGATTGTAGGTTGCTTGTGTCTTTTGGGGACCGTTTGAGGAACTGACTGCTTAGTAGCACATGAGAGCGTGCGCAGTAAGGAGTCCCAATGAGCATCCACATCAAGTTGAGGGTGAACATCCCAATCCACCTGTTGTAGATAATCCTGTAGAGCTGACGTATTCAACCGTTTGAAGTTCCAGCGCCTGTTGTTGTCGGGATATCTTAGCTCTGTTTTGCTGACGAGACTGAAGGCTATAACGGCGTGATCGCTCTTCCCCAGGGGAGCCAGAATTGAGAGGTTGTCGACTAGAAATTCTTTATTTGTAAAAACACAGTCTAAGCGCGACGGTGTCTGACCGTTTCTCCAACGAGTGTGCGACTTCACATTTTCGTGTAGTCCCAAGTCCTCAATGAGGTTGAAGAACCGAGCTTCGATTGAATTTTCACCTCCAGTATACGTATGTTCCGCGAAGTTGACTCTAGGAAGATTGAAGTCCCCTAGAATCAGGATATGAGTGAAGCCGAGACGCGTAGAGCGGGATAGTCCTTCCAGCATGCGACTGTCATACTCGATGTCGGCAGTGGGCTTCCTATATATGACTCCGACTAAGCACCTCGAAGTAGTGGACAATCTCATAGAGCACCATAGGGATTCCTCAAGATTGTCAAACTCGTGGTTGTGGATTTGATGTACCACCAGGCCAGATCTTATGTATAGGGCTACTCCACCCCCAATTCCTGTTTTTCTGTCATTGCGAAACAGAGACATCCCAGGTATTGCTAGCTCCTGGTCCGAATACTGAGGAGATATCCAAGTTTCAGATATTCCTATCAGATGAACTTTATTAGCGTTGCTAAGTTCACTTAGTTCATCCATTTTATTTGGTAGACTCGCGGCGTTCATGTATAAGCAGTTAATGCTTTCAATTTGAAACGCGTGAGCTTTTTCCTGTTTATCTGTGAGAGCCTTGCGTGAGTGGACAGGTAACCCACCTATATAAGTTTTGTCAAATTGGTAGGCCCTGTCCTTTACACGTTTTTTTGTCTTGAAAACAGTCCACAAGTGGAATGGTCAGCTCCAGCTTGCCTTTGTGCTTGATCCTGGCGTCGTATGGCCTATCCGGGTGCATATGGATCCCAGTTGGCAACCGACGTCTGTTGACACGAAATGCTTCCAGAGTTGCAGCCGCCATACGGGAGGATGGAAAAGTTATCCTCAATAGTCGGGGTCTAGGATCTCCGTCCTTCTTGGCTAGTCTCATCACATGCTGAGACAGTATGTTTTTAAGCCTCAAGGACTGTTTGATGAATTTCCATTCCCGAATGTCAGAGTTTGCTTCACCAGGGTCCATGTTTTCCGGTACACCTTGCACGATGATATTTCTTCCGCGGAAAAACTTCTCTCGAGAATCTTTAGGGACGTTTCGGATGAGATTGCGCTCACAATATGGTATGTCAGGCAGTATTCTGACGTTCCCATCGGATTTCAGTAGATGACTGGCCAGCAGGACATCCTCTACTTCGGTAGCATTCTTGAGTGTTACACGGAGTAGTCTCAGGTGATTTTGATGTTTAGAATCCTTTCCCCGAGTGAGCCGTGTGACCGTCAAAGGCTCTATTCTAGGGAGTTCGAGCTTTTTGTTCAGTTCACCCCAAAGCATCCTGTCATTTTTGTCCTGCAAACTGAGAGGAAGGTCAGGATTGTCTATGAGGTTCATGATTATGAGGGAGTCATCACGGACCGTTGTTGACTTCCCAGCTCTTCCAGTGCGTTCAGATTCAGTACGTTGTTGTTTGGAGGTCGAAGCAGGTTTTTGAATCGTAGGCTTTTTAATAGCCGGGCGGACATTTTTTGGGGTAGACTGAGCGATCAAAGCACCAGTTGATGTCCGTACAACACTTGGGATGTCAACCTCGGACGGTGACACCTGGTCCTTATTAGCTCTGTTGGCGTGGGTACAGTCACCTGCCGAGTTTTTAGGAACCACCGTTGCGTTTGAGGACCCTGAACTGGGAGATCCAATTTTAGTGAGGGAATCAATTATTGTCGACGTAATGATGGTGCTGAGTTTCAACATGTCATCATTAGTGCTAATGCGCGTTCCATCGATGGTTGACTTGTCAACATCCCTGTTCTTATTTTCGTTACGCGCCCTCGTTTGCCTACCTATTTTATGGCTATCTGTTTCCAAGTTTACTGACAATTTATTCCGCAGACCTGTCAGTAGAACAATGATATTGCTCAGCAGTACTACAGCGTCCGTGTTGCACGTAACGCACACCCACTTACGGTCCGATTTGCTGAGTCTTTTGTAAGCCGTTGCCGTAAGATCTGTGCACGTTTCGTGAAACCAACCTTTGCAGTTGTCACACTGCATGCCAGATGTAACAGCGAAACGGCATCCAGGTCTTTTACATGAATTTTTCATGGCTGTATTTACGTAAACTGTGCTTAAGACCGTTAAAAATACACTAAAAACCACACTAAAACGGGAAAAATGTATAAAAACGGATGAGATAAAATGAAATAGCCTTTACGTGAAAAACTGAAAATAAACCGAATAGTAAGCTGAGGCAAAACCGCAGTTAACTATTAAATTGGGTGAAACTCAAAAAAAAAAGTAATCTACCGAACTTGTAGCTCAGAATAGATTGTTTAGATCAGAAATGGTACTTTTGTTGCGTAAGAACACAGCAAAAGTTTGAGAAATGCAAACCACGTTAGGACTAAACTTCCCGTTCGAAAAGCGCGCACTTCAGTTGTCAAGAATTAGTCCAGGTAAGGTGTGTCCAGTAAAACCAATGAGGTCTGCAGCAATATCAGAGACTTGGAGGACTGCTTATTTTGGGTACTTATTTGCCGTCACAGAACCATCTAACATACTCGCCTTTATCATTTTAAATTTCAACCCTATATGTGTTAGTAGGAAATGCTCTACAAACTTTAAATCCTCTTATTAATAAGCGGTATATCGTTGTGAACAGATTCCAGAATGAATTACCTTAGATAATCAATTGTTGAAACGGGGCTGATGATGATGCCGGATAAAAAATGAAGTATGCATATCCTTTAAACGAACAAATTGTAGTATAATTTAAATTACCACAAAAACTCAGTTTTCCCGGTCCATATTTTTTTCTGTCAAGTATACCTAGGTTTCTACCAGGAGGCAGCAGTGATCTACTACTACCAGATCCGGGAGCCTGTTAAAAGTAAACTCTTATTTTGTCAAGAGCTATTTGAACCATTTAAAAAGTGAGCGGAGATACAGCGTTTATGCCGCTGCGGTATTTTCGAAATGGATTTTACAGACTCGGAATTATGCGGTTGTGAAAGCTCGAATTTTATACCGTCATCTGAATCTGATCCCCCACCTCCTGTTTCTTATCACGTAGCAGAATGCAAACCTGGTGATATTCACACACAAGAGTGTGATGTCAATACTGAAAATCAACCAGCCTTTGATGTATCTGGTACTATGGTATCTGCGGACTGCAGTTTTGAGTCTTCTAACCCCACACAAAACCAGCGAAATCTTACACAGGCAGATGGTAACAGCTCTCACTTTATTTCATCGCTTCAGACTTCCGAGATTTATCAAAGGAGAATTCAGATCCATCCGAATTCAAGAGATTAGACTGCAGTCCAATTTCCAACTCACTTACACGTAAATTAGTTTAAATTTATAACAAGGACTGATTTCAGCCTGCTCGAAACACACTCTAGGTGTTTTAAACAATAATCTCAAATTATCTGCCCCAGTAAGTTATTTTTAATTTATTCTTCCATGCCACTGAAATCTATTGGATGAAACTTCTCTTGACTTTTCTCATATTTATAATAGACTTCCTACTGTGTTGGTATCTTCATCTTTCAAATAATCTGGTACTGTGACCATTCAGTACAAAACCTGCAGCTCACTTTCTGTTAAATGTAGTGTTTGTTGGCCTTTATTTGTCTGTCAACTAACGACTTGTAGGATAACTATGGTTGAAAAGACTGAACCAATGATTCCGTATGAGCCTAGTCATTTTACAAACGATCATCTTGCATTCCACTGCTCTGTCCAACTCACACATTTTTGTGGCCACATACTTGGAGAGTAGTCGAATAATCCAATCAAATATTATGAAACATGTAGCCAGCTAACGTTAAATACTCCAATAAACGTTGCAGGTAGGAAAGCATGTTCATCGGTATCAAAACACGATTATAACGAGACATACAATCGACATTGATACGGCTTCTAAGATGTGTGGAGATTGTCAAGGACGAATTCTTAAATCTACGGAAGCTTTATTCGCAAATTAGAACTCCGTTTATGTGTACAGAAACGATTACTCGAAAATCTTAAATTTGTTTAGGTAATCTTCGGGGTATTTTACGACCCATGATAATGTGACAACGAACTGCGCGGCAGCTCGTTCTTTTCTACTTTACGGCTGCGAAACGTGGCCTTCAAGGGTTGAAGATACACGTAAGTTACTAGTATTTGACCGCAGATGTCCTAGGAATATTGCTCGCATCTGCTGGAATCACTGGGTAAGTACTAGTGAGGCGGGACGCAGGGTATCAGGGAATGATGATCAATCAGTTGATGAGGTTATGAATCTTCATCGACTGAGATGGTTGGGCCACCTGTTGCGTATCCCTGTACACCGATTACCACGACGTGCAATGCTGACTAGTGTTCAGAATGGTTGGAAGAAAGTTAGGGGCGGACAAACCAAAACGTGGCATCAGTGCTTGAAGACACTAACTTCTGGTTTGAGCCATGTTGGTAGATGCAGACTACTTGGTTGGGGTCCGCGTGACTATCGTAACCAATAGTTGGAGACTCTTGGTGACATGGTTTAGAATCGATCACGATGGCGTAGGTGTATACACTCTTTGTCTTCCTTTAAACTATGAGATTAAAATTGCTTTATATCTTTCTTTCTACGTACTAATTCTTTCCTCCTATACTATGTCCTTATATGCAATCTTTTATATATTACCACAATTCAATTAACTACTTCTATGAATTTGGTGTTCATCTTGTTGTGCTAATGAGGTATGGCAACTTGGACCGATGCATATATGTGTCTGGTCCTACGTTGTAGCTGACGTTGTACTTAGCTCCTTTAATTAAGACTACCAGTTTACTTCTGTTTGAACTTTTCAATTAACCTTTGTTAGTTTTCATATAAAGTACCTTGATAAGTATGTGTGAACAGGTTGTTCGAAATGTATAGAGAAAATAAATCACATTGTTCAGATCGATTCCGTTTTCTTATTGTTAATTTTTCTATACTAGTATAGGTGGGTTTGTGGAGGGTAGCAGGTTCTGGATTCAGGGTCTTAAGTACGCACTGTTGAGGAGTCCCGTTTTTTACTTAATTACTTACACCTGTCATTCCCAACGGAGCATAGGTTGAAGGAGTCCCGTACTGGAACAAAATGGCCTCCCAGTAGTTCTGATTTTTAAATAGTTTAGTTAAGGTCGTTTCGTGATTTACACTAAAAATTCGTCTCCACCCCCCCAGACTTACACTAATCCTGTGCTCACTATTGACCAGCTTCAAAATATAACTGAAGTTCTGGTGAGAAAACGTGATCAAAAGAGTTGAAGCATGTTATATGTGATGCAGTTATCCACCACAGGCAATGTATAGGAGTCGTACAATATCGTAGACTTTTTGTATTTTATTGTTTCTCAGATTTTAATCACTAAACTCTTTCATATTTAAACATCAAGCACAACCGAATAAGGAAATCACTGGGCCATACTGATAATCTATTCATCAAAGTCCCTAATCAAGCAATGCGCTTGTCAGAACCGTTGAGTGCTCATAAAATCAGTGAGTTTCATACGGGTATGTTCTTTACAATTATAAACTGGTTACAGTATCAACGTACTTTTCAAGCCGAACGTATGACATGATTAACATTTAAGGTACCTTATGAATTTTATTTAATAGGTATTTTGCTCATGTAGATCTACACTTTAAGTACAGTACTGAAGTCGATTTAGATAAACTAAATTATAGATTTTCATAGCTTTTCAGTTAAAGATTTGTTGCAATTGTCCGTTAAATTCATCAATCACAATGACTGTTTGTGTTTGATCTTTAATAGCTTTCTGTAAAACTCATTTCCCACACAGTGAAAGTGTGCATAGTTGGAGGCCATCCATAATCATCTATGTGTATAGCAAGTTTCTCTGGAGCTGCTTGACTGAAATCGGCTAGGTATTTATTCAATAAGATCCATCGGGTTTATTTTCGTCTTTAAATTAGGGTTATGTCACAGAAGCTAAATATACACTTAACTAATAGCCATATTAGTTGCGTGTCATCAGTTAACTAACCACTTGTTTTTTATGCGTGTCATGGACTAACGAGTTAGTAGTTAAGGATTTTAAATTCCAACCACTAGATCATGACTGTCTCTACAATGGAAGTTACTGTTCTTTTTAAAAGTTATATTATTTCTTAAAATGTAACAAACCATAACACACGCCTTATTATTTCTGATTGAAATAAGGTTTTACCAAAAACTTCATACAGTTAATGTTTTCAAAAGCATCAAATAAGATTATACTACCCCTGCTAATCTGGATGTGTTATTTCTTACATTTACTTATCCAGTGGATCAAGAAGCTATTATTCCGTGTTTCATTTTCGCATGCGACCTGTAATTCATGAATAACATGAATTCTAAAATAGTTATCTTTTTGTAACAAACCTGCTTAAAATGGTCTTTTCTACAGTTTTCTGAAATTGCTATCTCTACCTCCGCTAGTCATTAAAATTAAGGTTTACTGATTAACGTATTTCCTTGACTAGTATAAATGCTGAAAAATGCAAATTTTGATTCAGTTTGTCTGACCAATCAACCGAAATGTAGTGGAGTTTTAGTTCATGTTTATTTAATCTGTTTTTAGCCGATTCATGTAACAGTCCTTTTTTGTCTGGATTCGAGTCTCATTCAACTTCACTAACGCGGTTGCCAAATTCAGCTTCGATTTTAAATAGCAGCGACGGTGGTGGTGATGAAGGTGATTTGTCAGTTATGCATGATCATGAGAATTCGTCTCCTACTGAATCTGATAGTTTAAGTTGGTCCAAAATGTTCATTATCAAATAAGTATTCTACTTCTGTTATATCTTTAGTGAAAAATAAAGATGTACAACTAATAACTAAGAAAACATCCGAACTAGTGGAAAATGAAGTTACCGAATCTGTAGAATCAATTTTAGCTGTTAGTTTATCTGCAGTAGTATATCGAATGGACAATACAAACGAAGTAGTTTTTGACAATCGCTTTAACGTTAAAGTGAGTGTTGTAATCTTGTTTTCCTCTTAATGTACATTTTGCTTACTAGTGATATCCAACTGTAATAACATACAATCGATGTTCTCTCTTTGAGTGTTTGGTGCTTATTTACTGTTGATTTTCGAAACATGTTTTTACTTCCGTAGATTCCTTTTTGTTTGCTGATCTTTTTTTGTTACTAATTGTAAATTACCAAAAAAAAAAACGAACTTTTTTCTAAACCTATGGATTGCTGTAAAGTAACTAATCATCTCTTTGTCTAAGTTTCTATGTGTCAGAGTTCGGTGCTTAATGTGTAGGCTTCATATCTGGTTTATTACAGCAGGGTGATTTAGCTTATCAAAACTTGATTTCCGCTGCATGAAGACACTTTCTAGCTCTTGCATTATTTACATGGTATCTGTACTGAACACGAGCAGTTATGACGAGAAAGATTGTATTTTCGTATTGAAGAGGGCAGATAGACCAGATTTATAAGGAGTCTATATTTAGCTGGTCGTTCTTTACCTAGTCGTTTACGGTCGTATTGTTTTTTTTTACTTCTACAGAAGATAATCCACATCTGCTTTACGGTAGTTGTGGTCATCCACACTTCCACTCACCACTAACACAATAGCCCAAACACAAGAGCTTCTGTATTACTCTAGGTCTCATCACAAGTGGTAATCACAGGCTTAAAATCTTACAGAATTATGTTGTACTCTAGTTCAAATCACGCACTGTGGGATGCTATACATACCTGTTTGCTGTTAGTTTGTTGACTAATAATTTGATATGTGAGCAGCTTTTATGGTGTACTTACTTACGCCTGTTACTCCTAATGGAGCATAGGCCGCCGACCAGCATTCTCCAACCCACTCTGTCCTGGGCCTTCTTTTCTAGCTCCATCTAATTCTTGTTCATTTTTCTCATGTCTATCTCCATTTCCCGGCGTAATGTGTTTGGTCTTCCTCTCCTCCTTCGGCCTTGAGGATCCCATGTGAGGGCTTGTCTTGTGACGCAGTTCGGTGTTTTCCTCAGTGTGTGTCCTATCCAATTCCATCACTTCTTCCTGATTTCTTCCTCGACTGGGATCTGATTTGTTCTCTCGCACAGTAGGTTGTTGCTAACAGTGTCCGGCCAACGGATCTGAAGTATTTTGCGTAGACAACTGTTAATAAACACCTGTATCTTCTGGATGGTGGATTTCGTAGTTTTCCAGGTTTCCGCCCCATACAGTAGAACTGTCTTGACATTTGTATTGAAAATTCTGACTTTGGTGTTGGTTGCCAATTGTTTTGAGTTCCAGATGTTCTTCAGTTGTAAATATGCTTCTCTTGCTTTGCCAATCCGTGCCTTCACATCTGCATCAGATCCATCGTGTTCATCGATGATACTGCCCAAATATGTAAAGGTTTGTACATTTTTCAAATCTTCTCCGTCAATTGTGATTGGATTGTTGCATGCTGTGTTGTGCCTGAGAATCTTTCTTTTCCTTTTGTGTATATTGAGACCTGAGGCTACTGCTACACTGGTCGTCTTCTGCATTTGTTGTTGCGTTTGCGATAGAAGAGCCAGATCATCTGCGAAGTCTAGATCATCCAACTGCATCCTAAATGTCCACTGTATCCCGTGCTTCCCTTCAGATGTTGACGTCTTCATGATCCAGTCGATCACCATGAGGAAGAGAAAGTGAGAGTAAGCAACCTTGCCTGACACCGGTCTTTACTTCGAACGACTTTGTCAACTGTCCTCCATGCACGATTTTGCAGTTTAATCCATCATAAGAATTCCGTATGATATTGACTATTTTCTGAGGCACGCCGTAGTGTCGAAGAAGCTTCCATAGGGTTGTTCTGTCCACGCTGTCAAATGCTTTTTCGTATTCAATGAAGTTGATGTAGAGTGATGAATTCCATTCAATTGATTGTTCTACAATGATCCGTAGAGTTGCGATTTGATCTGTACACGATCTATCCTTACGGAATCCTGCCTGTTGGTCGCGAAGTTGTGCGTCTACGGAGTCCTTCATCCTGTTTAACAATACCCTGTTGAAGACTTTTCCTGGTATTGAGAGAAGAGTGATTCCCCTGTAGGTATCACATTTGCTGAGATCGCCTTTCTTTGGTATTTTGACTAGAAGTCCTTCTTTCCAGTCTTTTGGAACCTGTTCCTCATCCCAGATCTTTCTGAAGAGAGTTTGTAGTATCTTTGCAGTTGCCGCTACGTCTGCTTTCAGTGTCTCTGCTGGAATGCTGTCTAGTCCTGCTGCTTTGCCATTCTTGATTTGTCGAATACCCATGCTGATTTCTTCAATTGTTGGTGGGCCAACATCGATTGGGAGGTCCGTGAGTGCTGCTTCGATGTTGGGTGGGTTCAGTGGAGCTGGTCGATTCAAGAGTTCTTTGAAGTGTTCTACCCACCTATTTCGTTGTTCTTCAACGTTGGTGATTATCTTGCCTTCCTTGCTTTTCACTGGTCGTTCTGGTTTACGGTGATTTCCAGAGAGTTTCTTTGTTGTGTCATACAGTAGTCTCATGTTTCCTTCTCTGGCAGCCTTTTCCGCCGTCATTGCTAAATCTTCCACATATTTACGTTTGTTGGTTCTGATACTCCTCTCCACTTGCTTGTTTACTTCTGTGTATTCAGCTTGTGCCTTGGCTTTTTCTGCTCTTGTTCGGCTGGTATTGATTGCTGTCTTCTTGTTCCTCCTTTCTCGAGTCTTATCCAGTGTATCAACCGTGATCCAATCCTTGTGATGGTGCTTCCTTTGACCCAGAACCTCATGACATGTTGAAGTGATTGCCTCTTTTATCTCTTTCCAGTCGCTCTCCATAGTAGTTCCTTCTCCATTGAGTAGATCATGAAAGGCCTGGAACTTATTGCTGAGGGCTATCTTAAATTTGTTGAGTTTGTCAGTATCCTGGAGAAGAGCCGTATTAAACTTTTTTGATATTGTCTGCCCCGTTGTCCAGTGCTTCTTGAGTTTTAATTTCATCTTGGCGACCAGCAAGTGATGATCTGATGCCGCCTATAACCAGTTTATTGAAGGCACATAGGTTTGCAAATCTCTTACCATCTTCGTTCCTTTCTTCCAGTCCGTGTCGTCCCATGATCTCTTCATATCCGGTGTTATCCATTCCAACCTTGGCATTTAAATCTCCCATCAGAATGGTAAGGTCCTTTGTTGGGCATTTCTCGACGATTGACTGCAGCCTATCGTAGAATTGATCTTTAGCGTCTTTATTGTAGTCGTTGGTAGGCGCGTAGCATTGGATGACGTTCATTGTAATGCCCTCTTTCTTTGTTTTGAAGGAGACTTTGATGATTGCTGGTCCATGAGATTTCCATCCTATAAGTGCATTTTGTGCTTGTTTGGACAGCATCAATGCTACTCCTTGTGTATGTGCGGCATTTTCTTCTTCATGTCCGGATTATAACAGCAGCTCTCCTGAATCTAGTCGTTGTTGTCCAACTTGCGTCCAATGTGTTTCAATGATCCAAAGCACATCTAGGTTGTATCTCCTCATTGCTGCAGCAATTTGGAAAACTCCCAGTCTCCCACATTGAACGAGCATTCCATGTACCTAAATAAATGGTTGTCCTGGTTGTCAGAAGAGGCATCGGCCTCGTGACTTCCGAAGAAACTCGACTTTCATCATGAGGCGTCATAATTCTTCTAAACGAAGGCCTCCGGACTCCCAGGGCAGAGTTTAAATGGTTTGAATAATTTTTTCTGGTTAGCGTTTTTTAGCGAGTTAGTTTTCTACGGGATGGAGTCGCTAACCCCATGCCCAACCCTCCTCCTTTATCCGGGCATGGTACCGGCAGTAGCCCCCGGAGGGACTCCAGGCGGAGTTTTTTATGGTGTAGCTCAGTAAAATAACATTATCCGCATACCAATTCTGTAACGATACACTGTGACATCAATCCAGAGCATTAAATTCGTGGTTTTTCCATTTTTCATTGATTTCGTAATATTGAAATGGGTCACGCGGTATCAAAATGATTACGTCTACTTACTTGCTTACTTATGCCTGTTACTCTTTGTGGAGAACAATAGGCTACCTACCAGGATTATCCATCTAACTCTGTCCTAAGCAATCCTTGCCAGCAGTTTCCAGATGCTGTTCATTCTTTCGATGCCTACCGTCATTTCCAGACACAGTGTGTTCCTTAGTCTTCCACTTTTCCTTTTACCTTCAGGATTCCAAGTTAGCGCTTAATTCCTGATGCAGTCTGATAATTTCCTCAACGTATATCCTATCCAACTCCAACGTCTTTTCCTAGTTTCCTCTTCATTTGGAAGCTGGTTTATTCTCTCCAACAGAGGGCATTTGCTGATGGTATCCGGTCAACGGACATTGAGTATCTTACGTAGACAACTGTTTATAAATAATTGTACGTTTTTGATGATGGTTGTACTAGTTCTCCGAGATTCAGCTCCGTACAGTAGGACTGTCTTGACGTTCGTATTGAAGATTTTGACTTTGATGTTGGTTGACAGTTGTTTTGAGTTCCATATGCTCTTCAGTAGTGGGAATGCTGTCTTCGTTTTGCCAACCCTCCTTGTTCATCGATGGTGCTGTTCAGGTACGTGAAATCCTCCACCTCTTCCAGTGCTTTTTCATCAAGTGTCACTGGGTTGGTGTTCTCTGTGTTGAATGTCAGAATCTTGCTTTTCCCCTTGTGTATGTTGAAGCCTATTGCTGTAGAGGCTGTTACTGCACTGGTTGTATTCACCTAAATTTGTTAGTGTGTATAGGATAAAAGAAGAGCTAGGTCATTTACAAGGTCCGAATCGTCTTGTTGCTTCCAAGTTGTCCATTGTATTCCGTGCTTCCCTGATATATGGAGGTCTTCATAATCCAACCAACCACCAGAAGAAAGAGGAAAGGCAAGAGTTAACAGCCTTGTCAGACACCGGTCCTCACTTGGAATTCATCTGTCAGCTGTCTTGCATGCACAACTTTACAGTGTACTTCGTCGTATGATGTTGAAGATCTGCTCGGCTACTCACTTCATAGTGTCGAAGAAGGTTCCATAAGGTTATTCTATTCACACTGTCAAACGCTTTCTCGTAGTCAAGGAAGTTGATGTATAGTGACAAGTTTCACTCAACTGATTGTTTAATAATGATCCATAGTATAGCGATTTGGCCTTTATGTGCTGCTTCGTTGTCCAGTGGCTGGTCTTTTCAAGAGTTCTTCGAGGTGTTCTACCGATCTGTTTTGTTGTTCCTCAGTTTCAGTTATTGGCTTACTATCTTTGTCCTTGACTAGTCTATCTGGTTTACTATATGTCCCAGCTAGTTTGTTGGTTATATCACATAGTTTTCTGATGTTTCCTTCTCTTGCAGCTTTTTCCATCGTAACTGCAAGGTGTTCCACCTATTTCTGTTTGTCGGCTCTAATGATCTATTTCACTGTCTTGTTTGCTATTATGTATTCGATGTGTGCCTTGACTTTCTCAGCTCTTGGTCGACTGTTGTTAATTACTGTCTTTTTATTTTTCCGTTCTTGAATCTTGTCCAGGGTTACTATCTCTTATGATAGTGTTCGTGCAATCCAGAATTTCCTAACCTTCGAAGTTAGTGGTTCTTTGATTACTTTCTAGTCGTTCTCCTTAGTGGTTTCCTCTTCTCTGAGTAGATCTTGTAAGGCTTGCAACTTATTGTTGAGAGCTATCTGGAGTTCGTTGAGTCTGTCGGTGTCTCATCGGAAGGCTGATATAAAGCTTCGTATTTAATAACTATATAAAAATTAACAATTATTAATTGTAACTCGAGAAACATGATTTTATACTATCATTAATAGGTTTTCTATGCTCAAGACTACATACGTGCTGAGTACTTGGCTGTCACTCGTCGTTGTAAATTTATTCTCAGTTTACATTCCGTTTATTCTCTAAAGATCTTATAAGTGCTTCGTCTCTTTTCCCCATCTGAACGTATAATAAGAAATTTTTTTTAGGTAAATGATGCCAATCTCAAAGCTGCCTATAAGTGGGTGCAAATAAATAGTGCGAAATTAATCGGTGAACTGAGCGTTTCAATGAAACCAAGTAGTTGTATTACTAATCAGGCAAGCATATCTTAATTTTGTTGTTTCATGTTTGAAAATTAATAAACCTTGTTACTCTGACGCTTAATTGTTTCACAGAATCTACTGAAAAATCGATAATCACCCAAGTTTTTTTAATACCTGTGTGGTGGCGTTATTCATAGTGGTCTGTCATCCAGATCGAGATTATTGAAAGGCGTTCAAGCTATAGCTTCATGACAGTTGGTTCTACTGGGATCAAGGTTCATAATCGAATATGAGAAGCGGAAAAAAGCATATTTTAGTAAAATCTTGCTAATTGTTTAAATTGAAATGTACATTATGTTGTTTAGATCTGAACGACGTATTAGATTCCTCTCCTTAGATTATTAGAGGGTTGTAAAATAGTTCTGGAACTTGGTATTAGAAGTTAGGGTTAGGGTCTTTATCACAAGCTGACACCAGCTATGGTACAAGGATATCAAAATCCATATCCTAGAATGATAATCCATTCACTCATCTTTTGAGCCTCCTGACAGGCTATAAGCGGTTAGGATCGAACCTCAAGGTCGTTCGATTGTATTCTTTACGTTTGCTGCTTTTCTCATTCATTATTTGTCGTTCACTTTGATTGTATTACGTTTAGACGAGATTTTAATTTATGAATGACCTTTGAGCAATACCAAAGTAAACTCAAGAAACCTTAACCAATTTCAAAATAAGGTTGTGATTGGCTGATAAACCACTCAGGGTCGTCGTTGTGATATAATCTTACGGCTTTATATTTCTAACAGAAGTTCAAATCGAACAACTTATATTATGTGGTAAGACCCAGAGACCTTGGGACATCAAAACATGTAAATTCAGAATGACAGCAGCCAACCAGATAACCGGAAAGTTGATTACAGAAGTATGAAGTAGAAAAATATCATCAAATTTGCCCGCTTAAGAAAGAAACTGACATTTAATAACGAAAACATAATAACTGAAGGTCCTCCTAGCATTTATATGAAGTTTTAATGAGGATCTTCTAGCATCTTTGTTCATTCGCTAGCGCTAATCGGTTAAAAATAAGCTAATCAACGTATTTCAATGTGATGCTAGATATGCAGTTGTTAGGACTCTAGCCTATTAACATTAAGTTCTTGAGCGTTCAATGAAATAAGTTGTTAGCATCCATGAAAACGTCCATTTATATCAAGTTGTATCATATTGACAGTTTGGCTCTTTATATTCTGGATTTCTCCAGTTTACTAGCTTTGTGCATTTAGTTCATTTGGCAATTTTTTGTAAAGTTCACTCGTTCTTTTACTGAATATTAAATTTCATAAAAATGCGATAGTTTTTTTTTTAATTTCCTGTCAAAGATTCAGGCTAAATTAACAAGTGATTCAATATTATCAACATCACCCCCGACAACTGACTCATCTAACGCAAATGTTTTGAGCTCAAAATCACTTTTCGGTTCAACTAGTATATCCGTATCGAATTCATATTCTATTCAACGAAAAGTATGGAAAAGTCACTTGAAATATCCTCATTATTATTATTCTCATTCTTCTTGTTAATTTCTAATTTGGTTGTTGAGGAAAAGATGTCCACTTAAGGTTTATGATAACTATGGATTTTCCCGGTTCATTTTAGTACTTCCTATTTTGAACATGTTATGGATTCTTGTTTTTTATACTGTCAAATGTCAAACTTTTGTATGTAAAACCTTTGTATGACATGTGGATAGAATATTAGAAATCCTTATCTTGGAAACTAGAACAACACTTATAAGCGAACAATATTGTTTTCAGTTAGATCGTCATCAGGCTTTATTTCAATATACATGAATATTAGTGTGAAAATATCAAACCAATCAAGGCTATTAATGAATCAGTGATCACAATGAAATAGATTATATAACTGAACATAATACGTAAAACGTGCTAATTGTTAGTAAAAAGACAGGTGTACTAGTAATAGTAATAGGAATAATAAAATAGCAAAAGCTCTAGTTAATATTTTGACGTAGAAAGTAGGTCAAACTTGGGCAAACGAATATTAAAATGGTAATCACTAAAAGTTGTGTAGATAATAAGATATTCCTCACTATTTTACTAACGCTTTTTTATCATGCAATTCCAACAAGTTTTAGTGATTATTATTTTATTCTTATCACCTCTAGTACATCTTTTCTTACTATCAATTTGTACCTTTTATCCAGTATAATCTATTTTGTTGTGATCATTGACTAGTAAATTCCCTCGATTAATTTAATATTCTCATACATCTACACACGTGTATGTTAGAGTAAATGTTGCTGAAGGTTTACTTGAAAGCAATATCGTTGACTTTTTAAGTAGAGATGGATAGCGGTTGGCAGTGGGATCCAGGACGCATATCTCGTCCTATTTGAGACTCGTCAGCTGGATGTATCTGGATCCCACAGTTGATCTTCATCATGGGACTCAGTTCAGTACCGTTCGCTTCCGACTCCATCTTGTTATCCACTTAGCTACCAAGTTCAGATAGCCACCGGTCCATATCTGCTCTAAGATATGGATAAGTAACCGTTGGTTTAAGGATTTCGATTTGAAGGATCATTAGAAAAATGTTTTGAATATAGTAAATAATCGGTACAAATGTTTACGTTGTGGTGAAAACCTCCATTTTTAGGGAGACTGCCTAATAAAAATTAATCCTTGTTCGATTCAACCTTATTTAGTACATATTTACGAGGTTTTCCCCCATCTCGTATAAATCTTAAACCTAGTGTTGTATTATGGGTACATATTGATGGACTCACTTTTATGAATATCGAAAAAAATAGAACCCATTAAAATAAAAATGTTGTTATAAGAGGATTGTTGTGTAAAATTGTAGGTTGCCTGTACAACGAAGACAACATCAATCGCTAAAAATTGAATGTAAACAAATTCTCTAGCCTGTACAAATAAACAATAATGATTTGTTCGATATTTTTAAAATACTTGATGTACGTTTTCGTTACTACAGTACAATTTGGATATCTTCTGACTCTCATTTTCAAGGCTTTTAAATCTTTATAAAGACATTGGTCTAAAAAACACGTTAGAATAGCGTCAATATTTTCTTTTATGTAACAAAAATTACTAGTAGCAGAGTATTTATTAAAATTTTCGTCATATTCCTTTTATCAGTCAGTCTGTCTGTCAGCTGCAACTAGGACCAGGCACGCATATGCATCGGTCCAAGTTGCCATACCGCATTAACACAACAAGATGAACGCCGGATTCATAGGAGCAGTTAATTCAATTGTGCTAATATATAAAAGAAAGATTGCATATGAGGACATAGTATAGGAGGAAAGAATTAGTACGTAGAAAGAAAGATATAAAGCAATTTTAATCTCATAGTTTAAAGGAAGACAAAGAGTGTATACACCTACGCCATTGTGATCGATTCTGAGCCATGTCACCAAGAGTCTCCAACCATTGGTTACGATAGTTCCTTTTATAATTTCAGGTAGATGACAATCATTGTAGTGGTAATCATGGATTATTTAAATCACCAGGTTGTACGTCATCTTCTGGTTCTGAACTTTTTATACCTCGCCCAAAGAATAAAGTAAGAAATGCTAATCTGACAAAATACTTTTTTTAATTATATATCACGTTGGAATTTGTACTGTGGTTTTACTTTACACCCTAATAAATTTTTGTTTAGTTTGAAAACTCACTGTGAGTCATAAGATAACGCAAAATTCATCACTGAACTTCTTTTTCATATCATTTTATTATAAGTTTCGAAGCTTCCTTGATATAGACAACGATGTTTCTTTTTCCTCTATCTATCTGAAGATTAGTTATGAATTACTAACAGATATCTGTTGCTCGGATTAGGAACTTCCTGGCGGGAATATTTCATTTCCTGTCTGTCTTTATGTAGCGGGTATAAAAATCCCCATCATCTTCAAGCAATGTGTGCCTGAAAATTACTAGTTTAATATGACTTCTAATTTACATTTAGGTTTTTCTTATTATCAGAAGGGGTTTTGTGGAGATTTTGAGTAATTTCAATAGTTGATTTTTCATTGTATGTTGTGGTGCACCGTAGTCTTAATTTTAATGAAGACTTTTTATATAATTACCGGGTTTGTCTGCTTCTACCCAATAGATCTGACTGTCTTCTATGAATTCTTTGGATTTTGGGTGGTTATCTCGTACTTGTGAATAATGACAAAGAAAATCATTCACGAACCACTGACCTTTTGTATTTCTGTCCAAAGGTTTTTGAAGTATTGTAAATCCCCGATCTGTAGGATCTTTTAGTTAAATACACCAAAGTTTTGTGGATCTGAAACTCATTGGTTTAAAAATTCAACCTACAGCCAAAAAGTGACGTGTTTCATTTTCTCACTACTTAACCTTTTCGTTGTAACTCAATAATTCAACAGTAGTGCATTAATTTTCAATTCCAAACACCTTCTATTTGATCTTGTAAGAAAATCAGTATTGTTCGTTTTTACTAGTCTTAACTTTGAAACTGTTAACTTCAATTGTTGCCGTTTTTTTGCCAATCTTATTTCCTATTAAACTGTAAGTACGGAAATTAACAAACACAATCTTCAACACAGGATCTAAATTTCGTATTTCCATCTCTCTTCTTATATGTATACATAACCGTTCTGAATTTTTTGCTTCCATAGTTAAGTGTCGAAGAATTCATTGGAGGTAAATGCCCAGTTCGCGCAAGCACAACATCATCATCAAGTTCTGACCTTTTTATTCCTCGTTCAGCAAATAAAGTAAGATATCTTGCTCACGTATATGAATTTTATCAACATTTTTCGTACTGATTTTCCCATATTTTCCCTAGTATAAGTAGATAATTGTACCATCATGTTACTACCTTGGCTGTGCGGTGATTATCATCTATCTCTCGTTGTTGTTTACATTCATTTCCTAATTTTTGAACATTTAGTTTGGTAATACTATATAACGCTGATCTACTTGAAGATCATATAGAGTCGTTCTCCTTGGTTTTGAGGGACTAATCATTTAATATGAATAAGTAGAAATTGACTAAGCAAATTCTGGGAGATTGCTTTCTGGTTAAAGCGTTCGACTTTTACCCACTAATTTGCAGGTTCCAAAGCCGCTTTATCTAACTTGTTTTGAGCAACCACGTATATATATATATATATATATATATATATATATATATATATATATGGGAAGAATACAATAAACTTTCTATTATATTTGTTCCAAGCATACGTGGATTTATATACAGGAATACTGTACCACATCACAACATAAGTTGAAAATCATAGTTATACATAAATAATCCCAAACTGACAAACTGAAAGTAATCGGTCAAGAATAGATTAGGAATAATCAGTCATATATTCGTGGTTAATGAGTCAAATGGATGCTTACAATAGACATAATAGAGAAACAGTAGTCCAGTCATAAGAGTATACATAATAATAATTCACCAGATAGTTCAAAGAGTTTCCATTCCTTCAGTCTGCGTTCTTGCACATCAAAATTATGCATATCCTCGTTCCACTCCAGTTTTTTGTAATAAGACATGAATGGCACGTATTTAGTAAGACCCAGAAATATTACTACCTATGTCCTGCGTCTTTGTATGTAATTTGATCTGTTGGTTGGAATTTAAATTTCAATGGTAATAAGCTTTAATTTCACACATGTATTTCTATTATACTTACTGTTTTCCTTACGTCAGTGCTAAAAAATAATGGTACCTTGAAATGTACCCATCTTTTCATGTATTTTAAAGCGCATTCGTGAACTAAACGATAAACAAGGGTGTGAATCATCTACCACGTTAAACGCTGCACAAAAATCATCGGAGTCTAGCTTGCTCCGTTTAAGTTTACTTCCTTCGTCTTTAAGTTCGAACAACAAATCGGCACATGGTAAGTTTCCTCTAGAAATAAAATATAAATTGTTTGTTTTTTGAAAATCCCTTAATCATACGTATTGTTTCGTTAAGCAGATGACTAATAATTAGCATGATTGTAAATTGCTGTAATAGTTCTTGACATCTCCTAACCTTTTACTCAGTTCCAATTTTCAACCAGTCATGTGCAAGGTAGAACCTTGTATAGTAACCTAAACCAATTGTCATTCCATATCAACGGAGCGAGGTGAATTATCAAGACATTTGTCGGAGTAGTAAAAGTAGAGTGGTAGGAGAAGAAGGATTAGGCATGGACAGTATAATTCAAGAATAAAAAATGAAGTTACAGAGTGAAAAATATAATATAGTTTTGAGACTGAGGATCTAAGGGAAGACGGAGTGAATAGATCTAAGCCAATGCGACCGACTCTGGGACGTTTGATTCAAAGCCACCAACTATTGGTCACGATTAACGCGCAGATTTAAACCAGTTAGCTTGTCCCTACCACCATGCCTTAGTCTAATAATCGACTACCTTATGAACTGATGATTCGTTTTGGTTTGGTCGCTCCTACCTTCCCTCCAATCTCTTTTGTATTTAGTATCGATATATTGAAGTTACTTATTTTTCAACTGGCTGTAGTATTGTTTAATTGAGTTTAAGTAGATTGTATCCGATATGTTAATACTTGGTTCGATTATTATTTTATTGGAATTTATTGGTAATAAGATCACTGCGTTTGACCAGGAACGAATTCATGTAACATAAAGTTATACATAATTCGTTAACAGTATATAACCCTTTTCGTTTTATGTTAACCATATTATCTGTTTATTTATTTTTATTACAACAGATTTCACTCACTGTTCCTCTTTAACCCTGGTGAATGAAACACCTTCTGAGGACACAAATAACGAGTCACTCCATTATCCAAAGTAAGAATTCCTACATAAAATGGAATATATTTTGTATATGTTTACAAAACCATTGTTTGTAATACAATTGCTGTAGATTGTAACGTTACGAGGTATTGTCTTGACCAGCTTCAGATGTTACCGTTGGTATTGTATAGTAGCTTAATTGCCAAAAAGACATTTATAGAGCAAGTCGCGTTGCCTATGTGGCTGGGCTTGTTATTAGGAACAAAAATATCGTGAAACACTTCAAACTTATCAGTCATGAATACCATCGATTGAAGAACATATTAACAATTATTTTCCTCCTAGAAATCTCAAACCTCTAGTTTACAGACACTGTTTGAGAATTACAATCTGACAGTCGGTCATGCCTTGGTACGGCCGAGAATGGGGAGAGTCAGCTCTTCCTCTCAAAATGCTCTCGCATGGCCACGTGCATACAATCACTGCCAGGGAAGTCCTACTCACTGTCTTCTCGCGGCTGGGGTTTTGTTTACGAAACTGAGAGGACGTAAAGCGAATGTCCGGGGCTTTAACCGGGTTGGTGGACACGGAGATTCCACCTAGGGGAGTTAGGCATGTCCCCGACCACTGGTTACGATGATCCAGGTAGTCCAAACTTACATAGATGATAGCACAGTTGCCAGTGACGTCTGATACCACATTGGCTTGGTCTCACCTTACGTTCTTCCAACATATTCATACATTCATGGAGGTGGGCTAAACATAAAATCTGTTTTCAAAAACCTGATCAGCGTCGAGACATAACTCCATTAGATACTTATGTTATGAGTAATTAATTAATGGCATTGTTTCCATCTAATGAAAAGAGTAGAGGTAATTGTTATTAATGTAGCGGATGGTTTAAAGTATCTTTCCTCTCTCTGCGGTATACCATGCTAATACAATTATGTGATAATAAAACTTGTCTGGGTGACGGAGTTTACAATATTTCTTGATTGGTACTCTAACGGTAAACAATAGAGATTAGATCACGGTATATCAGATAGGCGATTCACGATCAAGAATAGCGAACCAAAGGAAATGATATACAATATTTCATTCCACACAGTTACGAGCACTCTCTATCCGTCCGGAATAGAAATCAATAGGTGAAAATGAAATCACATTTAATAGTCAGTAATGTGAGTTCCTATTTTCCACACTTACTGACCAATCACGTGTGCCTTCACTACCATACCTCAGTTATAAATCATATAAAATGAAAAATATCGTACAATTCAAATATAAGTTTTTATATGTCTTGTATTCATGTCATTTATTCAAACGGATGCATAATGGTGGCTTAGTGGTTAAATGACTTGTCTTTCATCCATTAGCTAGCAGTATTAACCTCTATTGCGCCTCTTTTGGTCTTATCAACTGGCTAATTTAACTTATGCTTACCTCATGTGTAACTGGTACTTGATGTATGGGTTCTGTTCAAGTGGTATCCTGAAATGAAATGTATAATTTATTAGAAAGTATTTTTAAATAATCGTTGTATATTTCGAAGTTTCCTTTTCTTAAACATGTTTCTATGACTGAAATAATTTTTAAGAAATAAAGATTCTCAGTTGTATATTATTCCCTTTTAAAGTTCAGAAATATTTATAACATGGTGTAAGTCGTCAAAGTTAAAAATTCACCATTTTTAATAAAAGAAATTTCAGAATGGAGATTTGATTTTTCAATTAAATATACTGAGATGTTAATCAACTCGATTGCTCTGTTGCTGCAACAAAATATGATTTTGTTCCCAACTAGTTTATTCATAAAAATTCTCTTTATTAAACTCATTTTCTCTAGCACTGAAACAAATCAATTTGTCAAGCAGACCGATACAGAGTTGATATCGGATTCTCCTAGTGCCACAACATCGACGACAAAAACTGCTATCACAGAAACTGAAGATGTTACTCTCACTTCAAGTAAATTAATTCCAGGTATGTTTTCTTGTTTTTCTTTCAATCTTTGATATTCTATGTAATCGTAGTTTTTATCTTTTTGGATCAACACTTACCGTTTCCATGCTCTATTCACTACACTTATAATAATACAGTCTTAAATAATGACAATTTATTTTCAGACTTACTGAAAGTGTTGCTATCTCAATTAGGAAGCATATAATGATATTGATTTTTGTCCTTAGGTCTGATATCTAATCTTTCAATTGCCCATCACTTTTCATGTCGATTGTTAGGTCGGGTCTATTTTATTTCATCTAGTATGTTGATTGAGTGTCAGCCTCTTCAAAGTTCTAGTTTGTTTTTTTTCTTCTGTCCGTGATTTTGACATTTTCTTTGTCAAATTTATGTCAATAATTTGCCACATGCATTGATGTATGTGAACATATTTTGGGGCGTTTAACAACCAGCAAACTCTGACGTAGATGCAGAGATGTGAACTTTGTTCGATGTAGTGTTTCTCGAAGTCGTTATTTTTTTCTTTTGTCATGGTATTCTTTGATTTTCATCTTATTGATTACAGTGATCTTTTAAGGAACGGTTTTAATATCCGTTGAGTTACTTTTTTCTGATGATTTTGATATGGATTTATTGTATATTCTTTCTTTTGAAAAAGGTTTGTACACAGCTTAGTTTATGAATCATTACGTTTTCGCTGTTGTAACTAAGGTTTTACGGAGTCTAGGTGGGCTTCTAAAATACATGAGTTTCAGGTTTTCCGATACCGCTCTGCTCCTTGTGATTAATACATCATCGAAAGGTTGTTTGTTGCTTGATTCTGTTTCTCACATAGAATTTGTGTCATATAAGACGCTATTGATTAAGTTGTAAATACTTTCCAGTTAATCCTTTGTGTTGGTAACAAGTTCGTCGCTCACATAGTGGAGCTAGATTTTCAGCTTGGTCATTGGCAAGACAAAGTTTCCAACAGGCATTAGAATTAAGGCTTTCACGTGTTTTTCTCATTGAATCCGAGTTATTCGTTGTTGTATCAATGGATATATGTTTGTTGACATCGTTTTTATTTTACCGTAGTTAGCATTTGATTAGTACGGGTTAACATAGTCTAGTGTCTTTCGTACCAGTGCAATTTTAGCATGATTTTTTCTACTTCCCAGAACGTTGGATGTTTACATATTTTGTATAAATACAGTATTCTAGCAATAGGTATATAATTCACAGAGGTTTTCGTTTCCACAAATATTGAAAATCATTCCACAATGTTTGTTTTTGCCTTTTCAAACATTTTGTAACATAGGCGAACAGTGGGTTTATGGCAAATGGAAAACGGAGAAGAATTATTATGCCGGTAAAATATATCCTAATGAATCTGGTTCCAGGTAAAATGTTTCATTTCGTTGTAGGCAACTTTTTCTCTTTTCTCTTACTACAAAATATACAGCATTTTTGGGGAATATTCACTTTCTTTTAAGTAGGTTGGTCATCAGTACCAACCGGCAATAATCACAAAACAATTTCAAATTAGAATAGAAGCTTCAATAATACTCTTCAAATTAAATTCTGACTTTTAAGAGACTTGTTGATTTTTATTGGAGGTTATGACAGATTTATAAATGATGTACTTCGTTATGTAATGTAAGTTTTCTGTATAAATGCAATCAATTTGACGTTTCTTGATACGTCCATATATTAACACTTCACTTTGTTAAAAGTTCTATTAATTCGGTTATTTTTGGTAAAAATAGGATCATTTTTTTGTATGGTGTTTGGTAGTGTATCAAATCACTTTGGTGCCAAATTTTCCATCATTTGTTTTCGAATTCGACTGGCGATTCATTTCATTTTCCTTAGCTGAATTTTATCATCAATGTGTTGCTCGAAACAAAACATAAGATTTGTGCTTACTCCATAGGATTTATCTCGTCACTCCTTTAATTTTTATACTGTTTTACATCGAGCAAGTAGTAGATTCATTAAACTTAACAGTTGTGACATTATTATCTTCTGGTTCCTACATTCAACTCTTAAGCATTGCATCATTGATTTGAATTATACTTTGCCTGTCGAGCTTTCTCTTCTTATGTTACTTAAAACAGATAGTGCAAAAATAATTTCATCGATGTTATTTCCGTAAATGTTTTTCACCGTAAATATTGGATTGTTTTTTCTCTAAATTGTTTCATACAGATGTTTTGTTATTTTCGAAGACGGAACGAGAGCACGAATCAAACAGTCTGATTTGGTTGCAGTATATCTACTACCTGTCGGAGCTGAGGTTAGTTAGCTTGAACTTGTCACAACTACTGATTTGATGTATCTTTCACAACTCTTTATTCTCTTTTCCCTAGTTCGGTTTCTTCCAAGATATCCATTCAATAATAGTAGCCCTAATATATTTTTTTGTCAAGATTTACGAAAGTGATTCTTCAGTAAAAGATTATTTTTGTTGAAATTTGGGAGTTGTTTCTTTTGAGATTTACATTTAATCAATATTAATTTAGCCAATTGACTGGAATTTGAATTTTCTTTCTTGCTACAACTGTGCTCAAGCAGCAGGAATGTTAACCATAAAAATATGAACTATGTTTTTGGTGGAGTTGTGTTCTCTGCTCTGGATAGAACAAAACTCCATCAAAATCACCCATCTGAACTACAAATATTTTCCACCATCTCATAAGTGCTGTGTGACCTGACGATCCTAATCAACATTTGGTGATGGACACCAATAGACCATAACACTGTCAGCAGTCATCGAAGTGGACCGAGAGAAAGTACCTGCTCCTTCTGGATCATATGTTTGTTGCTCATTCATACTTTAGTGTGGGCACTTGTTTATCTACACTTTGCCGAAGATGTAAAAATTGCAACAGTATGACCAATCAAATTAGGAAGTATATGTTGTTTATTTTAATAAAGAACTAGCATGAAGGTATTTATCATGAAGCACTGAGGATTTATTTCAAAACTGTTAGGAATTTTAGAAGAAAGTTCAAATCATTTCTCTGAGAAACGAACTGTTTCACTGAACATGCACTATATTATGAAAGTAATGGTAATCCAGTTCACTAGTCACAAATTACTTTGTATACTAAGACCCTACGTAGCTTAATACTAGGAAGTACTGTAGATTTGCATACTGACCACTTATCTTGTGGGTTTCATCAATCGTATTATGTTGATGTCTGCACTCATACAAGAACATTCTTTTGAATAAAGCTATTTGAATGGTGAATATAGCCGTCTGAGAATACCCAGACTTTATGGTATAGAGGTTCGAGTGATAATGTTAGTTATTAAGCTCTAATCTCAAACATTATCCCAGCAAAGCAGTACTGTTCATTTTTCAGGTGTTGAGTTAAATTTCATTTCTTACTTTTTATTTTGAATGTTTAAATTTTTTGAATTATATTTTTTGTTTAGCTTTCCAGTGCATTAGATCTTGCTGTTTCCTCTCGTTTGTTTTTCATTGGGGTGATTATGAGATATGTAAACTTGAACCAATACCTATTTCCTCCATACTTCATATTTTTTTGTGAATGATCGGGCTCTTAAAAGTATTAAAAGCCATCTTAGGATTCTCTGGTTTCTACAGACTGACATATTTCTAATTTATTATACTAAGTGGTTTTTGTAGGTTTACAAAACAAGATTACTTCATTGTTAATTTTTATAGTTATTTAATCTTTTTAAATCAGTTTCTTAATGACTAGGTAGTATAAAGTATCAATCACTATAATAAAATATTTGTAAATTTATTTGATAAAAAACACATTATGTAAATTGTTTAATATTTGTGACGTAAGGAAACATATTGAGATCGAAATCATCTCTGTTATTTCTTGGTCTCGAAAATTTTTGTCTTGCTATTTAAATGAGAAAGTCAATCATAATTAATGTTACTTCAGAAATGTGTATTTTACAATGTCACCAGATTTTATATCCGTTGACTATCAGAAAATTAATGCGTGAAAATTTTAAGTCTAACTTTTTATTTATTAGAAGTTGGACTTGGTGTTTATTCTTGTTGAAACAAACACTTTAGGGTCTTGGGACGTACTTTAACTTCAAGATTATGTCGAGTGTGAGGCAGTCACTCCGTTAACAATGCCAGATGTTTGCGCAATATCGTGAATTGATTAAAAACACATGAACGCCACTGAATCTTTGCTTAGTAATCTGGAGGTTAAGCATTCGCATTGAAACCCAAGTTCCGGGGTTCGGTCCTCCGTGGTAGGGTCGTAGAGGTACACTGTTAAAGAGTCACATGCTGGGACGAAACAGCTATCCAGTGCCTTCTGGTTCTCAGTCGATGTCCGGCCTATATCGGTTCTTGATATAAGTAATCTTATCCTTCGTTGTCTCTTTTAATATGCTATTTTGTGACCTTTCCCAAGGACATCTTTATGCTCTATATATACGCATGAGTTATGTTTGTTGTTTTCAGTGCTTCTGACTGCTTGTGGAATACATTTCCCTCTTATTAACCTGGACTCCTCTCTTTCTGGTTAGCTAGGCTGCCGCGCATCGAAATATTTAACTTATTTGGTCATTGTGTCGCTGAGTTTTCATTCCGTTCGCAAATTTAGGTGTACTCGTAATCTAAAACATGGCATACGCTGTATACCATACGTATTGACTGAGTCGGATCAGTTATTTTCTCTTTTGGAAAAAGTGTCTATCGTTATTTGCATAATCATAACTTACTAAAATTTCATTCCTGTCAGTAAAGGGTTGTGCAGATTGTTGCCTTGCATTAGAATCATGAACCTATCTAAGTTTGACTACCATTGACTTTTCACCTCATTTTCTTCACCATAGGTCAGTGCTGAATTAAAAGATGATAATGAATACTGGGGTGATTGTGTAATCCAAGCTTATTCAAGTGATTCTGAACGACCTTATAAAGTTCTTTGTCGTACCACAAACGAAGTTTATTTGTAAGTTAGCTTTTTGCTTATTTTATCCGTTTTAGGTGGTCTCCGTATTATTCTTTACTTTTAGTGTCCGAGTCACACTAATATGCACTTTTCTTATTATGTTCCCACTATAAGAATGTTGTGTACATATAGTTTACATTCTTCTATATTCAAGTCCTCTTTTTCGGTGTAATATTCTGCCACTTAGTATTCTTGGACAATTCACATCATTCATCTGATTCCTAGATCAGAAAACGCGACTTGAGTAGAAACGTCAATATATTTCAAAACAAACAAGTCAAGCTAATAGTGTGAATATGTCATTATATACATAAAGTGGTTAAAAATGGATCAGTCAGTCTGTTCAAACATTATCCCGGCCTAAACATACTTTTATCGAGTCTCTGTCCTGCTAACAGTGATTTCATTTTCTTAATACTCGAGACGTATTAAAATAGTCAGCATCGCGATAAGATTTTTAGCAATCAGTAAAGGATTACCTCTACATGTTTTTCAACGCTAGACGGTTATATGAGGGTTAATTACGTAATAACCTCTCTCATGTACTCACCTAAGTGATTGAAAATATTTTTATTGTGTATTTTGTAGTACGCAAATGAATTTAGTGGTCTGTTTCTTAAAATAATAGAACTATGGCAGTTAGTCAATAACACACAGCATAGAATCTGATAAAAATATCTATTAATCCAGGTTCCCACTTTTCTAGTACTGTTTTCACGGTACTATTAACAGATGTGTATTCAAAATAGAATAAACTCACAATTTTGTCTATATATATATATATATATATATATATATATATATATATATATATATATATATATGCTGTCGTAAAAAATGGAAGTACAATGTTCATATTTTTCATTTAGTTTACGAAGAGGTCAAGTGTCAATACATGAATCGGAAGTTGATAATTTGAAAAAGCGACAACTACTACCTTCTAATTCTTGTGAAATTCAAATTTCAATTGAGAATGAAAACAAAATTAATATGAATAATTCTATAACGAAAATATGTGCAAGTCCAGAGGTAAAAAAATGAAATTTAGTCGACTCTATTTAATTTTGCTTTTAATTACCACTTGAAAGCTATATATATTACAACTATGTGTTTGATGTATGTATTGACATGTAATCCGATTATTTCCATAAACTTAGCTGACTTTGTTTAAAATGTATTAACGAAATTTAGATGACAAATTTAATCACTATGATATCCTGGTCTTGGTCACAGTGATGAAGTGTTTCACTTGAATTTTTTTAAATTGAGCGGTGGCTCAGTGGTTAAGGCGTTTGGTTTACAGTTATGAAGTCACAGTTTCGAACTCCACGACATCTACTTTGATTAGAGAAAGCGGGTAGTATCACTAAAACTCATACTACAAGCGCGGCTTGAGGCCAACTACATTGATCTGCGTCTGGTAAATAAGTTGAATAAAAATACCTAAATTCAATAGTGGAGCATCAAATTAAATATTCTGTAGTTCAATTTTTGTGAATTCCGTAGGATTCATAATTACTACTCATATCATCATTTTTGTGACATGAGCGGCATATTCGAACTAGCAGACTAATAATTCTGTATTAATAATTTCCTAATTACGCATCAATAAGAATTTGTTTGATTTATTTTAGTCGTACTGGTTTCTTTTTTTAAGAAAAATGCTCAAGTAAAGTAAGTATAATTTTCTGTTTCTTAATTATTTATAAAGGTTAGTCTATCCAACTTAGTTTTTGATAAGAGAAAATCGAGACCAAAAGTTTATCGATCCAGCTGGATTACACCAATGAAACAATTAACAACGGTTAAAAACGATACTGATAATCAACACTGTATAACATTGCCAAGTAAACTTGTAAGTTCTTGTGCTAATATGCTTGACGTCATAACATTTCGTAATGTTTATGTTATAGGGATCATATATACATTGACATGGATGTATGCTGGGTGCGAAATCTGGATCCTGTTTCCTTACGTTCCCCATGAATTTATCAATACCAAGACATTTCGTAAAGGAATTTAAAATCATTAGACTAAAATTCATACACTTTCTACAAGACTAACCATTATTTAAGTAAACGTCTTCTGATTTCTGACATAAAATATGTCAAACTTGACCCAAGTATATATACTTACAGTATTCCTAGTTGGTGTTTTGGAAGCTTTTCTGATGTTTGCATTCTTTATGTGTTTGTTTTAAGTTAACCTGATCAACATTTTAAACAGGCGTAATGCAATTACATTTTTGACATTTCAGCCAAGTTAAATAAACCAATCAGCATAAAACATAGATTTGTAATATATATATATATATATATATATATATATATATATATATATTTGTTTATCAGTCCGATAAATAAGTATGTAATTTTTGACTGTTTGTGCATTATTGTTGTCGTTAAATTACTATTATCCTATCGTCTCAACTATTTTAGACATTGTCTTCACATTTACGCAAACGATATAGAAATCAGTTTAAACGAAAATTACAAACAACTTCTGTTCGAATCAATCGTTCACGAAATAGATCTGGTAGCTCAACTGAACGTTCAAGTTTAGCCAAAAAGCAACATCTTTCTGATTTGTTTTCAGATGACGAAAACTTACTAACACAACCTATGTCTTTGCAAACACCTGTTTCGAAAACTGAAAATTCTTATAAAAAAAACAGTATGTTTTCCTTTATCTCCATTTTATTTTGTAATGTTTTCAATATTACTGATCTGACTAGAATTTTTGAGTAGGTCGACTACTCCACTCTATTCCGAAAATAAGTAGATAGTGAAATCCCAAAAATAATGTAGAAATATATCCTGCATGATGACATTATTACTACAGGTTAATCTATTGAGCCTTGAAATATACTTATATTGTGAGTTGCCCCGATATACGCGAGATCCTAGTCCGATATAACACAAGATGGCGCAAGTTTGAATCCCATGCACGATATCATTTCCCTTAAAGCATCACATACACCTTGACAGTTAGCACAAAATTTAGTTTTAGGGCCTCCTGCTGGTTGCTTCCAATCAACTAACATCAGTTTCAGTCCTGCTTGTTTATTTCTTCGTTACTAATCACTCTTATATTTCTATATGGAGCTGACATAGCTTCAGATTACCATCTGGTAGTTGCCAAGATGAAACAGCAGCTAAAGAACACTGGAAAACTGTAGAAACAGCATTACAAATGTTTAATACAGCCTCCCTTCGAGATACTGACAAACTCAACGAATACATGATAGCTCTTAGCAATAGGTTTAAAGTTTTCGAACAAAAGGCAGCAGGACCAGATAACATACCAGCTGAGGCACTAAAATCAGATATAGAGATTAGTTCAAAGATACGCCACGTTCTATTCAGGAAAATTTGGGAGTTAACTGCAAAGATGGATAAATCATCAGGATAACAAAGTGAGCAGATCTGAACAAATGTGAAAAATACAGTGGCATCACATTACTATCAGTGTCAGGAAACGTTTTCAACGAATTGCTGTTGAGCTGAATGGAAGATTCAGTAGACGCCCGACTTCAAGATCAACAGACCGGATTTCGTAAGGATCAGTCGTGCACAGACCAAATCACCACACTATGGATCATTATTAAACAATCAGTTGAGTGAAACTTGTCACTATACATCAACTTCCTTGACTACGAGAAAGCGTTTGACAGTGTGAATAGAATAACCTTATGGAACCTTCTTCGACACTATGAAGTGAGTAGCCGAGCAGATCTTCAACATCATACGACGAAGTACACTGTAAAGTTGTGCATGCAAGACAGCTGACAGATGAATTCCAAGTGAGGACCGGTGTCTGACAAGGCTGTTAACTCTTGCCTTTCCTCTTTCTTCTGGTGGTTGGTTGGATTATGAAGACCTCCATATATCAGGGAAGCACGGAATACAATGGACAACTTGGAAGCAACAAGATGATTCGGACCTTGTAAATGACCTAGCTCTTCTTTTATCCTATACACACTAACAAATTTAGGTGAATACAACCAGTGCAGTAACAGCCTCTACAGCAATAGGCTTCAACATACACAAGGGGAAAAGCAAGATTCTGACATTCAACACAGAGAACACCAACCCAGTGACACTTGATGAAAAAGCACTGGAAGAGGTGGAGGATTTCACGTACCTGAACAGCACCATCGATGAACAAGGAGGGTTGGCAAAACGAAGACAGCATTCCCACTACTGAAGAGCATATGGAACTCAAAACAACTGTCAACCAACATCAAAGTCAAAATCTTCAATACGAACGTCAAGACAGTCCTACTGTACGGAGCTGAATCTCGGAGAACTAGTACAACCATCATCAAAAACGTACAATTATTTATAAACAGTTGTCTACGTAAGATACTCAATGTCCGTTGACCGGATACCATCAGCAAATGCCCTCTGTTGGAGAGAATAAACCAGCTTCCAAATGAAGAGGAAACTAGGAAAAGACGTTGGAGTTGGATAGGATATACGTTGAGGAAATCATCAGACTGCATCAGGAATTAAGCGCTAACTTGGAATCCTGAAGGTAAAAGGAAAAGTGGAAGACTAAGGAACACACTGTGTCTGGAAATGACGGTAGGCGTCGAAAGAATGAATCTTTTCTGGTTATTTTTAATTGTTACTAATAACTTTATATGTATGATTATTTGTTTTATGGTGGTCATCACTTTGTAGCCTTCATATACTAATAATTCTGTTTTTGCTCTACGCTTTTCATCTATTTATAATCTTATTTTGATGATAGGTTCGTGTCTTTATCATTGATATTACTGATAATTTGCAAAATTCGTTGATTCTTCGAAAAACACTTCTTTGTATTACATACTTGACTGTAAACACGTCATTCCATGTTTAGTATTAACATCATAACTATCATTCCATCTCACTTGGTAATTATTTTTATACAAAATTTTCAAATTTTTGTGGAAAATCCTGTCAGTTGATTAGGTATCAGGATTCGGATATTCCTATTAGTATTTAGGACTGATTGTAGCATTATTCGTTCCCATATGAATTCCTTGGATGAGTACCTCTGTTTTGCCTGCACCTGTATATTAATTACATTTTTAATAGTGAGTAGCATTGAAATCCCGAACACATATTCTATTTCTCTTCGTACTTATCACTTGGGTCTATCTGTATCCTAGTTTTTATTTTTACATTGGCTCAGTAACCTAAAAGATCCCGTTATGTTGTTTGCGGTACTGGTTATGGATTTCGAGTTTCAGTGGAAACATCAGCACTGGAGACATATTTTGCTTATTCTGTTCGAAATCGAGCGAAATTTTCCCTTTACCATGCAATGCGTTGCCGTTTACTGTTCAAAATCTAACTTTTCCAGAGGTCCAGAAAACTATATGTTTTCACTAAGTAATTCATGATTGTATTGTAGAGAAGTTGTGTTTTTCAAAGATTTTATCATTTATTCCTAATTCGGTCTAATACTCACATTCTTTTTAGGGGAAATAATTTCTTTAAACTTTTTGATCACAGTTTTGGTGTTTATGTCGTTATGAATTATTACTGAACTGTTTACTCCTTTTTTAGATTCAAATCAATTAGTTTCTAAAAGGATACAATCTTCTGCTTCGCCAAAGTCTAGAGCATCATTTGGTTTACTTAGGTCATTAAGTCATAATTTAAATATACCAATTCCAAGTCCAACTGTATTCCATGGATGGACTATCATTCTTACAGGTGGAGCTAAAAGTCAGTGAACTTATTTCGTTTCTAGTTGTAAACCTATAATGATTGACAAATGTTAATTTCTTATAGAAGTAAACTTATTGATGTGAAGTAAGAACCATAAATAATGCATTCATTTGTTATCTATAATTCCTACCAACAGAGACTATACCTGCTGATAAATTTACAACGTTAAACTGAGTTCAACTGTTCTTTTTTAACTAACATCACTACTAATACTAAAAGACAAAAACTATTATGTATCGGGTACATGAACCGCCTAATTCTAACTCAGTATTTTCAAGTTAACGTAGTCATCGTATAACTTGCAGGTTATGAATTCGGTTACACCTGAAATCGTTAGTTTACACTTCTGAGTAGTCACAAGCTAGAATGGAACAGGTGCTCCAATACATCTTTTTGTCCTACTATTCTTCATCTGTTGTCATTTAGTTACGAAAGTCATTTTCAAAATGTGCGTTTAGTTTGTTTATTTACTAAGTTTCGCTCAAGTCTCAATCTACTGGCTGTACACTTATTGTAGCAACCTTTTATAATAAAATCCCACTTGTGTCCATATTCAGAGCCAATACTTTGATAAAATATTGGTTTAAATCCCATTCAGCAAAATCAGACAATATGATTTCGCATCGAGGGGAATTTTCCTCGTAAATAATAAGTATTATCTTCATTACTAAGGCAGTCGAGTCTAAAATACCAAAAAATCCAGATTATCAGATACGTTAATCGTGAAAATACCTGATATCATCTTAACAAGAAATAAGATGTGAGTATTAGATACTACCTCTCTCTTTACGAATGTTTGACTTATGATAACAATCTGCCTCGTATGTTATATTAAAAAAACTCTAAATGTCGACGTTCAAAAATACTATCTATCGAAAGCATTTTCAACCTCCATTTTAATAATGAGTCTTATGAATAAAATGTCGGCATTTTGGTCGAATTACCCACTCGCCCCACTTTTGACTAACTGTTTCATTACCAGTCCAAAAGAAATACTGTACTTTGTCATATAATTGATCGACCCTATCTACACAATCAGTACTTGGGGTCTATTTTTACCAAAAGTATCAAACCCAACGACATCATAGTACCAATCAGGTTCACAATAAAATCGAAGTCAAACTTCCACTTCTTGGATGTTCTATCGAACAAAGACCTCATAGTTCGTTACTAAAGTCAATAGATAAACAGGCATTCCTATGTAGCCAGTGTAAAAACATCTTAAAAGCTGTATGTTGTTCATCCGGAAGAGAAACTTGATTCACTTTTTGTGAGGACAAGATAAGTATGTACAGGGGATACGATTGACGGTGAACTTGAAAAACTGTAGCAGATGCTTATCATCAACAACTATCCATTTAGGCTGATTGACAAAGATCTGAAGCCTGAACGAAAATGTAAGAAATTCACTACAGTTCTAAAGAACATCCTGTTCATGTGTGTTCAATTTAAAAGGCTAGCAGTGGAATCCAGGACGCGCGTTTCGTCCTATTTGGGACTCGTCAGCTGGATGTACCTGCATCTCAGAGTTGATGTTCACTCCGGGACTCGAACCCAGTACCGTCCGCCCCCAAATGCCCTGGTATGGCCGAGAGCGGGGAGGGTTCGCCCTCCCTCTCGAAATACTCTCATACGGCCACGCGTATACAGCCTCTGCCAGGGAAGTCCTACTCACTGCCTTCTCGTGGCGGGGGTGTTGTTTACGAAAATGAGAGGACGAAAAGCGAATGTCCGGCGCTATAACCGGATCCCAATTCTATGGTGCACATGGGCTCCAGTATCCTGCGGGAACAAATGGCGTATGAACCAACTTTTGGTCACCGGCTTCCATGGGACTGCATCTCCTCACGATGCTCCACTGCCTTGTGGACTAGACCTTTAGGTCAAAGGCTCGGGGTGTGGCCCCCTAAGAAAACCACCTGCTTCGGTCTGGGCACCCGGGCAGTATCCCAGCCCACTCACTAAAACTATGATGAACAATTTGCTTATGGAAAATATTCCTTTCTATCTGATTAACATTGAAATAACTCGTACTATTATTATTATTGTTATTATTATTACTATTATTATTATTATTATTATTATTATTATTATTATTATTATTATTATTATTATTATTATTATTACTCTACCACGTCATTTATTCACCCTCTCTTATTCCTACTTTATATATGCGTTTCGACCTAGACAGCAGCTCACCTATGGTAAAAATTCAGCTTTATCTAAACGTTCTCGAGTCACTGCCTGGTTAGAAATTGTATGTTACCACCGAATACGAGTACTGAAGCAGTTTTTCTGAAACTTCGTGCACCATTCAAACTGGCTGCTTTCAACGTTTGCACACTTATGCAGGTCGGACAACAGATAGGGCTGGCTATGTCTTTCGAAAGTCTTAATATTGATGTGTGTTGTCTATCCGAGACCCGTATTCAAGACTCTGGTGAAGTACTACAAGTTCGCTCTCCATCTGTCACTTCAAAAAGCTTGTTTTACGTGCGTTTATCCGGGGACCCTGTGGCATCTTCGTCTGGTCTTGCTGGCGTTGGTGTCGCACTAAGCGCTAGAGCTGAGGCAGCACTAATCGATTGGATCTCCATTAACAGTCGGTTATGTGCTGTTAGATTAGAAAGTTCCATCAAAGTGAGAAGAAATCGGCGTGAGAGACGATGTCTTTTCGTCATCTCCGACTATGCCCTGACAGATTGCAGCCCTGATGCAATCAAGGATGAGTTCTACCACCAGCTAACTGTTCTTCTCCAGAAAGTGCGTTCGACAGATATTGTAGTACTAGCTGGAGACTTGAATGCTCAGGTCGGACGTCTAGGCACAGAAGAGAGTCGTTTAGGTGGCCGATGGGGACTTGTTGGTCGCAGGACGGATAACGGGGAACGTCTACTGCGACTATGCACAGACCACAACCTGTTTCTGGCTAGCACTAACTTTCGGCACAGTCATCGCCGATGTGCCACCTGGCGTCCCCTTTCTACATCTCAAGTCTGGACTCAGATTGATCACATTGCGATCAGCTACCGCTGGCGTGGTTGTGTACAAGCCTGCCGCTCTTTTTGGAGTACCTATCTGGAATCTGATCATGCCCTAGTTTGACCTAATCTCACCTTACTTTTCAGTGGCCAACGAAGTGATCGTCACCAAAACATGGATGTCAGCAAATTGGTTGCAACTTCTGTTACTAGTAAGTATCGAACCGAGCTAGCTTCTAAGCTAGCTACCATTCCACCGAAAAGTATAGATGAACATTGATTGCAATTGCATGACGCCATGAAAATGGCGGGTACAGTCTGTTGTGGGTTTGCGAAACGTCCCGCTTACAAGCACTGGGTTTTTTCTGGTTCCTTACAACTGATTGAAGCCCGTCGGTCTACTCCGGGTGACCGTGAGTTTGACCACAGACGAAGGATGTTACGTAATGAAATCGGGCAAAGCTTGCGTAAGGACCGAGAAGCCTGGTGGTCGGAGCGAGCCAGTGAGTTGGAAGCAGCAGCTGCATCTGGTAATTACCGGAAGCTCTTCCAACTCATCCAGGCCACTGGCAGCAAGAAATCTGGTGTGAGCGAAACAATCTGCGAGGATGACGGAACGCCAATCACTAACATCCATTGACGTCTTTGACCATGGGCAGAATTCTTTGAAGGGCACTTCAACTGGCCTGCAGCTCTGGCAACATCGGTCAGACTGTCCTGCCCTCCATGGCCGGTGACGACTGATCCACCAAATGAGGCGGAAGCCCGCAAGGAACTCCAACTTTTGAAGCGCTACAAATCACCGAACCCAGATGACTTACCCCCGGCTTTATTAAAGATGGTGGTGACTTTCTGACTAAGGGACTGACGACGTTGTTTACAAAGATCTGGGAACTAGAGAGTGTACCAACGTCATGGAATGAGTCGATAGTTGTTCCTATCTTTAAAAAGGGTTCAAGTCGTTTCTGTAACATCTATCGGGGGATAAGTCTACTTCCAATTGCGTCCAAGCTATTGGCTTCCGTTATACTTCGTAGGTTGTTCAAAACCCGAGAAGGATTGACTCGCGAGGAGCAGGCTGGGTTTCGTTCTGGTCGAGGATGCATTGGTCATATCTTCACCCTCCGCCAAGTGTTAGAACACCGCCATACTTATCAAAGGCCAACAATCGTAGTGTTTCTTGATATCAGGGCTGCCTTCGATTCGTTGGACAGAAATGTTCTCTGAGATTGTCTATTGAAGAAGGGTGTGCCTGAGAAGTTTATTAACATCCTAAAAGCCCTATACACAAACACCTCAGGCAGAGTGAGGGCATACAACCACCTTTCTCCACTATTCCATTCAAGTAGTGGAGTTAGGCAGGGTTGCCCAATTTCACCATTCCTCTTCAACTTTGCCATCGATGACATTCTGGAAACAGCTCTGACGGATGTAAGTAATGGTGGTGTAGATCTGTTGCCTGGAGAAAGACTTCTCGACCTTGAGTATGCGGATGATATTGTCTTACTGTGCGAGAATGTTCAAGCCATGCGATCCGCACTTCGTGAATCAGTGTCCGTAGGTATGGTATGTGCTTCGGTCCTTCGAAGTGCAAAGTACTTCTACAAGACTGGCAGGATTCTAATCCTGTACTCACTCTGGATGGTGAGCAGATTGAAGTAGTCGAGAAGTTCGTGTATCTAGGTAGCTGCATAAGTGCTGGTGGTGGTGTGAGTGATGAGATCAGTGCACGTATAGTGAAAGCCAGAGCGGCTTATGCCAATCTGGGCCATCTTTGGCCCATTACATGCGTGACAGTGTTAATTGAATTGTTTGTAGGAACAAGTGCATTACATATATGATACTGTCGATCATATCATTGGCGCTTTGGAGCCAATATTTAAGCTTTTCTGCAAAATTTCATGTCTTGCCGTTATTTCTACCTTGCTGTTTGCAACAGTTTGTATTTTGCCCATACCACTTTACGATGATTGCTCTTTAGATTAATATCTGCACAATCTGTTGTATTGTTCGACCCATAATTCATGGAATGTACTACAATTACTCCTTGTTGGGAATGCTTTCCGAGAACTACGACGAAGCTTCCAGAGGCAATAAATCAACCTAAGATTTTCCATCCAATCAGAACGGGATGGAGCTCTCTAGAATATCAGTGTGGCATGCTACTATTGGACAGTAGCATAACACGCCTTCTTGCGGATTGGCTGAATTATAATATTGATATAACAAATGCTAATATCTATAAATACCCATGATTTTCTGTACACTTTGATTCTTACCCAACAATTATTTCTGTCTTCTGATTTGCGACTGTGGGGGTTCTATACGTTCTAGTGTCGTAGTTGTATACCATATTTCCCGTTAATCAAGTAGAGAACTTAACACTTCTGCACTCATCGTATATTATTCTCCATTGCAAAACTGGCCGAAAATTGTTTTAGACGGCTGAGAGATAATCAGTGTTTAAAAATGTTTTCGTTATTCTCTTTAAAATTAATCACCTTCAATTTAAATCTATGTTAGATATAAATATTTGTCAACATTGCATATATTGGCTTGACAATTCTCCACTGTGATTAGTTTTTATTGAGTGAAACAACTATTATTGATAAATCATTATATATATATATATATATATATATATATATATATATATATATATATGTCAGTATGATTTCTTGTGATATTCTGGTAAATTTTATTTTGTAGACTACAATTCAAATGAATCCATAGATCGTAATCTTTTAGAACAATTGATTATTGCATGTGGTGGAGAAATTGCTTTAGAAATCAATCCATCTTTACTGAATAGAAGATATGGTTGGGAAAGTCCTGAACTAGATGATAGTTTCCATCAAAAGAAAAGTCAATGTGCACATTTTGTAGCTTTAGTTTCAACAGATTGTTGTCGCACATTAAAATATTTTCAAGCACTTGCTACGTTAGGCAGTGTTCCATTACTACGTATTGACTGGTTGTTGGATTCATGTCGTGAAGATGCTAAAACATACAACAATGAATCGTCGTTTGAAGAAACTCGTAATTGGCCTTTATATTTGCTGCGTGCATATCCTGGTCGTTATGAATTACCTCGGGGATTTATATCAGGATCTTCTGAACCAGTTAGTTGGTAAGCTAACTTCCACGTAACTCTGGTTTTTAAAGACGATATGCAGTAGATTCAGTACAGTGAATTGTTTCACTATCTGTAATAACAACTTACTGATTCACTTATGTTAGAGAGGGCCCTGACAACTTCAATCAAGGAACTGTTTTTTGATGAGCCTTTTGCTTCTTGAAACAAATACTAGTTTATGTCATCTACCCAACAAAAATTGAGTACATGGCACATGTCAGCGATTTAAATTTACACATATTAATGAAATTTAAGCATTGTTATGCAATGTCTTATGCTTATTCTTCAGCAAACAAACTACGTTTGTTTTTGATATGCAAGAGGTAACTGTCACTTTCTATTTTTCTTGTTAAAGTAAACTCAAAATAATTTACATTTGTGTGACGTTTCACCTAAAAAATAACTTATTTTAATTTTGGAAACAATGATATCTATCATGAAACTGGTAAATCTAGTTTGTTAATCTAGTGATTATTCTTTCAATCAGTGTGTAACGTGTGTTTACCATACTTTAGCTACTCAAGTTTTTGGAAAGGTACCACAACATTATCTATTTGCCTTGTTCATATGCCTTTTGTTTGTTTTTTTATGTATGTATTAAGTTGACAACTTTGTTCAGTGAGAAAGATTATGTTTAAGTGAATAACCATATCTATCTAACTCAGTTGTAGTGATAATTTTATTTCAACTCAGGGGAACAGTTTTGTGTTTCCCTTCTAACTTTCATTATATTTCTACATACATTTCAGGTGGTCTGTGCCTGTACGATATCGTTCACCATCTTATCAAACAATTCCTTCGCCATCATTGTTTGACCATCTTGGAGATTGGGCGGATAGTGGAACTAATTATCGTTTAGTAGCTATAGTAACTAATGATCTTAAGGTGTTTGGACCTGGTTGGTTGAATATATTATCTCTAGCTTGTGGGTCCAGTAATGAATTTGATGAGTTGGGTAATTCATCTAATCGAATTCCTTTAATACATTTATCTGAAATATCTCAAAAGCTATCTGATATATTTCCATCTGTAAGATGTAGATCTAAAGCAAGTGAGAAAAAAGTGAATTTTGTCCTAGTAGACAAGAACCATGTAAGTTCAGAAAATAAATTTATTTGATAACATTTTGTCAACTTTTTCTTTCTCACTATTTTCATTTAGTATATACATCTCAATAAAATATATAACTGCTAGAATGCTTTAACTAGTAATAATTTTGATAAATCACTATTTATTTCACTTACTAAAAACAAATTTGTATATTCACCTTTGAGTCACGCTTCACTTGAGAACTGGTAATCCTATATAGCTGATTAGACTAAAGAACGTTTATCGGGATCCACATCTGAGGCTACTTACTGATTAAAAGCTGATTTCTTTAACAACTAGTCCATATTTTTTGGTAAATACTTGAACTAGTGCGATGTTTTCTTGTTTGTCATCAAAGCATAAGACAATAGCGTAAAATGTATACTCAAAGTCCACACATTACACGAATGGTTCGCTTTAAGTAAGTAGTTGCATTGATTTTTTTCAATAATCATCACTACGAGTAAAGTTATGTAATATTTTGAGCTCTCATCAGGTATTCTTAGATAATCTAAAAACTAATTTTGTACTCCCAAATACAAACAGTACAAACGGATTGCATTCTAATGCTTTTACATAACAGGTGCATTATACATTTAAGTGAATTTTCAAATGCCGATTATAAATTGGGAAGATGAGGAAAAAATTAGTTGACAGATTGGAAATCGAAATGAGCTTGAAGTATATTTTGTCCCGAATTAGTCTGGTTTTATGTGGACCCTCATAAATAATTACCTAAAACCAGCATGAGTGACTCTAATTTTTACACCATGGTTGTAACACTGACAGTAAAACTAGCATACTAATAACTATCTTTTTAAAAGTTATTTTGGCCGCCGAAGTAACAGGATTTAAACTTCAGGAGGTTTTTAACAGCTACCTACTATCAGTCTTTAGTTGATTGTTTATGTTCGCTAAATCAACATAATGCTTAATTGGTTCTTTTAAAAGAATCGTTCCATTTTCGTCAGCTGCAGTTTATATTTTCGTACAACCAACCATTGTTTGGCCTTCCCAGAAATTTCATTCATAAGTTCGAATGTCATGCTGTAATGAACGAAAACACATGTGGGGACAAGCAATTTATTGTTTAATACAAAATTACAGAGTCCTTTCGCAAAATGTGGGAACCATGCATTCAATAATTATTTTGCAAGTCCTCTATAAATTGTCTCAGACTTCATTGTCCCTTCAATGTTATTACAATTACGTACTGTTCCCGTTCTCTTCTCTTCGATCTTCCCAACCCTCTGCTGCCAGGCATTCCACTTTTTGGTAATATATACTACTTATGTCGACATAATTAGTATACACCACAACACTACTTTTTCGCAATTCGAAGACAATTGGTTATTTATTAATTACAAAACGATCATTACTTGTTTTATGTGTATTGGTAGCTCGAATCTTTCTATCAACGTTTAGGATTGCGACTAATCAGTTTTCTTGTCATATGTCCATCCTGTGCGGAATCCCTCGATATTGCCATAAATGCTAGCTTGGATTGAAGCTTGGATGCCCGGTCATTCTAGAACGAAATGCGCGTTCTGCATTCCACTGCTAGCTACCATCCATCTCTACTTAAAAGTTCATTTCTTATTTTTCACATATTATTTATCATAAATTTTTTTAGATCAATCAATCTGCGTTTGCGTTTATGAAAACATTACCTATTGAAATGGTTACTTGTGACTACTTTATTCATTCCCTTATCTGTGGACATTTAGTTAACCCAAAATCTTCTCCACATTTTTCACCGATAGTATGAGCATATATTTCAATTATAATATGTGTAACAATTAAATTCCATAATTCTTCTCTTTTATTCCTTCCTTTTCCTTCAAAAGTACTCGTTAATCATCCAGCTAAGATCAATTTCATTGGTGTTACAATTAAATATTGTTAATTTTGTTCAGATTTTACTGAATTGTTTAATTTTTAGTCACTTCAATTTTAGAATTTAACATGCCACATAATTTGACTATATAAAAAATACTGGTTGTGGTTATTAATTTTTATACAAAACACTTTCAGATGTCACAACAAAAGTAACTTTAACTATCCACTTATTTTAACCTTTTGCTAAATCTAAACACGTGTCTTTTCGCGATAAATCACGTAAATTGAAACAAATAAACAGTGTACACACGCCTTAATTCACCTTTTCTAAAATAAACACAATAGACTTTAATTTTTGTTCCCTCTTTATTTGATTTTATCAAAACAGATAGTGTGTTATACTTGATTCATTGTAATCACAATATCCCATTTATTCAATCAAAGATTTACTGTAATACAAAATTGCTAAAGAGTTTCTAGAACATATTTTATTTTTTCTTATCTTTTAGCATAGTTTTATAATCCCGTGACTATGATGATGATATTCTCCTGTACAGTCTAATCCAGGTCATTTATAATGATATTCAAATTACAATTGATTGCTACGTAAAGAACAGTAAACTGTTTTAAATGTATATATCCGTCTCTTTCTTGGTTTATCCATCGAGAGGGCTCACTGGTCATCCGTAATTTGATAAGTACTTTCAAATCTGTCACTGTTTTCGTGAACAACAGACGTTAAAGAACAAAGTGATAGGGTGTGCCAATCAGAAATGTCAACTCAAAGCTAACTTATTAGTCAGAGATATTGACTTGTGCATGTTATTGATCAAGATTTGGCATAATTATCCGAGTGAGATAGGTATACACCGTTGGATGCTGGCTCAGTGGTTAAGTGCTTGCGCGCGAAACCAGTAGGTCCTGAGTTCGAATCTCGCAGGGGGCGAGGTCGTGGATGCGCACTGCTGAGGAGTCTCATAATAGGACGAAACGACCGTCCAGTGCTTCCAGGTTTTCCATGGTGTTCTAGCTTCAACTGACTCATGATCTATGAGTGAGTAGTGTTAATGTTGAACTTGGGGTAGCAGGCAAACACAGTAAATCAGTTACCGAGGTTGCCACATACATTTTGTTTGTCCAATAATCGCCGACACAAGATGTTGGCTGATAAAATTTGAACTTATCAAAACTGATCATGTTGCATTCATTTACTAGTCATCTTCCTACTTAGTCACCAACTAAAACTTGTTTCTCTTGTAAAATAATTACACCAGATGAACAACTATTATATTATTCTAGATTTAGCGTGTTCTACTCATATCAACATAAGTAGTATATGACGTTAGACATGAACAGAATATCCGGCAGCAGAAAGACAAGAGGATCGAACAGTAAACAATAGAAACAGAATGCAGTTTGTATGAAAATGCAAGAACAATGAAGTCTGAGTCATTTTCAGACAATTGATTGACATTTTGCAAATTAATCATTTACTATATGATTGTTAGATTTTATTAACAAGTTTTGTGATTGTGTCCCATTGGTGTTTTGTTCACTACATGAGAATCCAAATAACGCCGGTGACAAGTATGTTTTATTGATTTTATAGAGACATTTTTAGTATAAGGAGGCGAGAAACACACGTCTTTAGTTTCTTGACTTGCCTGCATTCATCCGACACCCAACAATCTTTACAGCTAAGACATTATCAATTTAGTATCCTTTTGCAGTTAAAAAACTTAAAATTCATTTTATGTTAAAAATTTTGCAAGTTTGGAGTGTTTTTTATTTAACATTAATAATTCATTAAATATTGCCATCACTTATCCCAATTCCTGGTGTTAATTGTTGATTTATGCTTTGTTTTAATTCAGCATTTTCACTTTCTAACATCTCCACCCTTTGTTTTAATTCTGCGATTTCTACTCTCATTGCTTCGACATCTGAAGGATCTGGACTTTCTGCTTGTAGGTGCTTCTTCATAAATCTGTAAAGTGAAGGAATAGGAGACTCATCTTTATGATACGCACATGTTTTGTATGTATTAGATAGTTGGAGATCATTAGTTTTGCTGTATCTGACACTTGTATGACTCTAGAACGCTTAACTGGTTAGTGCTTTGTACTGAGACCTCAAACTCAATAATGGGTAGTGAAAAGCAAAGACTGGTAATAAGGATTTACTTGACTCTCAAAATAAATCGAAACGATAAATGGATACGTCAATTTTTATATGATTCACTTAGTCATATTTGTATATTTTAAAATGAGTAATATTTAACACCACTTAATTAATAACCTACTGTGTGAACACATATTGCCAACATCATACAATTAGGCATCCCTTCTCAAAACATGATTACATTTCACAGAACAATGGGAAAAATATCTCATCTGCACTCCAATCAATTAATTCATTGCTTGCTATATCACCTTTTACATTAAATGACGTGAGATCCTGTTTTTATGGAAATCATTCTTCTGTTACGTCTACAGACTGCATCTCCACTGTTGACACTATATTTGTCATCGTTTGATTGCTAATTAGGGAGGTATAGAAAACATTTGAATTCTTTTTCTTTTAGTTCTTACCAACAAATCGAAGGAATAACTTCCAGATTTGGACAACTATACATTTTGTCAGCTGACATTATCTTGTATAGTCGAATCCATAGATTTGGTTTTTCATTAGACTATACAATACTACTCCTTTTATAATAATAAAACAAACTGTATTTTGTACGTGGATAGTTCAACCAGTTAAATGATTTTTAGTTTTGAGGTTGTACTCTCAGTAAATTTGTATTGTGTTATGGTTTTACTTTACCTGGTTGTAGGAATTAGCCGTTTCTCAGTTGCTGATTATTATTCTGAACGTATGTCATTAAGTCTATTAATTACTGAGTGGTATAAACATTAAAAAGCATATTTTGATATTTTAATCAATATTTAAGTTCATAATGAATTTTATCATGAAAATCGAGTGTCCAGCCGTAATGACTAGAAATCAAGCGCTCTAACTACTAAACCACCTTCCCAACATTTGTTTGTTATTTTGACAGATCTGTTGTGTATTACAACACCATGACTCTCACAAAGACTTCATCTATATGATGTTCTATTGATTCCTCTTCATCAAATATTGTGCAAACCTTAGTGATAAATTATACTGGTATTCTACATATAGTCTACACTTGGAATCATTAATAATCTTTAAAGTTGTCTTGTTCCTTTATTTATCTCGTCGCATATCTGCTACGTTTGCCAAGTAATAAAGACCTCATCTGGATATTTGAATTCACGTAACTTGACGGATAGCATTCATTCTAGACATTACACAGTTAATGGAATGTCTATTTCAATGTGCTTTTGATCCAGCCATTGCGAATAAACTGTATACTTACAACAAAGATACATTAATCATAAGTGAAATAGAGCATTTATGTTTAGACTATCTTGTTATAAACGTTTGTAAAACATAGTCTCTAATGTACGATGGACATCTCATTAGGAATATATTATTACGTTTCACAGCACCACTTGATAACATCGTTCCATATATCTCTTAATAATTTTTACTTTATTTTTCTACATTTTCCTGTTCCCATTCGACTACTTTTCTTCTAGTTCATTTCTGTCCTCTTTTTACTTTGATTTAATTCGTTATGATGTTGAGCAGTAGAGTAGCGAAATACTATATCATTTGTTATGTTAAGCCATCTTTCAAAAGCGTTGTTCCAAAACATGATCGCCTGACAAGCTTTTAATGCTACCTTCACTGCTTATTGAAACCAAAAACCCATTTTTCGTTTTGCGTGTTTTCAAAGATAGTTTATATTGATAGATAATTTCTGTTGGCCATATTTTTGGTTCTCTCAGTTAACTGTGTCAAAACAAATTAGTGCATAAAGTAGCATACAACGAATATTATTGTATGGCATATGAACTATTTTCAACATTTAAAAGCCTTGAAGATTTATATCATAATACAAATTACTGGCTACATATTGCATCAGTTATTTGATGTATGTTTAATATGGTGAATTTAAATACCATTTAATCCTGTTTTGTGCGGCTTCAGTGTTTATTAACTTTAGAACTTACAGCGTCATGTGAAATACTTTGCGATGGTAATTTTGCAAGGCTTGTCAACCGAATAAATATTAATTTGATAGTATGGATTAATTTTAAATTTGGTGTCGATCATGCCGAACCTCCCAAGATTAATTATTTAAATGCATAGGACTGTCATGAAATGTATTTAGAAACTATGTAATTAGAGCCCTTTTTAGCCAGTTATATATATATATATATATATATATATATATATATATATATATATATATATGTTACCTCCACATAGAATATGATCTATAGTTAACTGTAAGTACTCGTCTCAAATATTTTGATGAGTCTTAAACATAAGGGGTTGCAATGAATATGTGAAAATATCTCATTATCTTCAGATTTATTGACAAAAAATAGATTTATGAGCTTATGGAAAACTGAAAACCATTTATCCTGGATCGCGACAACCAGTACACAAGTATAATCTCTTCGGTATACCGATTCTGTAAATCCTGAAAACAAGGTCGAATAGGTTGCTTGAGAAGAAATCTGTGAGCTAACTGGGACTAACAATCTTTTATCTTGTTTTATCTCAAAAATCATTTGGTTTTCAAGCGAACCAAATTATTTATTAAATCAATTCGACACAAGCGAAAAGCGAAAAATGTTTAAGCTTAAAAGGATGAGGTATGAACGGTACTTGTTAGATAGAAAAAGCTATACAGAACTCAGTGATTAATAAATATACTTCTTATTCAAGTTAGTTGATTTATTGATTTATCAAATCGTATGCACACAAAACTATTGATTAACTATTAGCTCAATTAATGAAAAATTTATTGATTCACTAAACAATTAAAAC